TAGTGTTAGCTTAGATTAGGTAGAGAGAAGTGATGGGAAGGGAGGGGAAGGCTGGGGAGATAGGAAGGATAGTAGAATAAAACGGACATTATTATTACCATGTGTATATATGTGAATGCATGACAAATGTGATTCTGCAACCTGTATACTCAGAAAAATGAGATATTTTATCTCATGTGATTCAAATGAATGATATGTCAAGGTCATTGTATTGTTATGGGTAACTAATTAAAACAAATTTAAAAATCACATAAAAATAAAACAGAGTCTTGCCTAAAGTTAAAAAATAAATAAATAAATAAAAAGTACTATTGTTTACATTTGTAAATTACTAAAATAATATATTGGTAGTTTTCTAGGACTTTGGACATGTAGGGATTAGAAAACTGACAGCTAAGAGGTTCCAGGTTTCTTTTCAAGAACATGAAAATGTTCTAAAATTGACTGTGTAAATGGTTACATAACTCTGTTAATGTACTAAGAGACACTGTATTTTACATGTTGTATGGGTGAATTCGATGTCAGGTGCATTGCATATATCATAAAAATGCCTTTTAATATATGTACTGAAAAAAACATAGCTAACATTTTTCATTGTCTAGTTTGGATATCAGTCCAGACATAATACAAATATTTATATGCTTCATAATGTATCCAAAATAAATGAAAAAAATAAAGAAATAGCCTAAGTTTTTCAATAATTAAACTAAAACATAAAACATATCTGTATTTTGAGAAAAGCATAAAAAATTTGTACACTTTTTTAAAGTCAATTTAGTAATTACTTGCAGATTTTGAATAGATGCACAAAAATGAAGTAAAAATAACAAATTTTCCTGAAACATTCTATTAAATAGTACCTCTAATTTAGTTTTCCTTGTTGCACCATGGAAGTAGAGACAACATGAAAAGCTGCTGGGTTATAGAAAAAAGTCTCAGCTTTCCTCAGAATAGATATTTTAATGAAAGATGCTGATTTTGTAAGTAAAAAATTCTAAAAGAAAATTTTAAGTGTAAGAAATAAATGCAGTATAAAGATCCCCAAATATAATAAAATCAATTATAATGATAATATAAAGAAATCTGTTCATTGAAATTAGTATCCCAGAATAACTTTTATTACTTAAGCAGGTGTTGATTTACAGATGACATGTTCAATTTTCAATTTTCTACATACTTGACTTGTAATTTCTTTTAGTTTCTTCATTAAATCCTGTCTTTATATTTTAAATTTATGTGAAAATGTGCTAAATCTTCTAGAGAAGCCTCTGATACATGTTGTAGGGTACCAGCTGGCTGTTTTTCAAGATGTCTCGCAACTACCTGATATTTTTGTTAATGATTTTGTTACTCAGCTCACTTTAAAAATTTATTATTATTATTATTATTACTATTGTTGTTATTATTATTATTATCATTATTATTATTATTATATAATGATGTTTACTCTGAAAAAAAATCACTACATACAACAGTAAGCTGCTGTTTATTTCTGAATTCCCTTAAGAAAATAGAAGATTGTGTACTCCTGCTTAGTCACTATCACATTCCTTACACAACAGGGTGAGCCCTGTATCTCTACATACTGCCCTTGATAAAGTTGCAATGTTTAACAAACTACTGAAATCTCAATCAAAAATGGTTACACAGGTCTCATTGGTAGTGGTGAATTCTACAGAGGTTATTATCCCTCTCTTATTAGAGACTCAATTTAATACTCCACATCCTCACATCTTTAAAGCTTTGTTAAAATAATTCCAATATACTTTCACAAAGAATAAAGGAGATTCTAGGTAACCTGGTCTCCACCTCACTGCCTGTCCACATCTCCTAGATTTCTCACTGGTCCTCACACTACTCCTGCTTTACATAAACCCTGCCACCCTCATTAGTGCATCAAATTACAGATGAAATCAACTGTGGTTTTGCTGCAATTCATCACATTAGTCCCAATTTATGATAATGACAAATAGATGCTTTTAAAGAGGTGGACAAGACATGAATGAAAACAAAAAATATCAGGACAGTTATTTTCATATTTATGTTAAACTTAAATGACTAAAAATAAATTTACCAACTAGAAATATACAAAAATATACTGAAGAAAGTCTATTAAAAATACATCATCTACATTTCAGTTCAACTGTAAAATCTGGAATGAACTGTAAAAGTAACCAATTTATTTGAAACTATGTATGAGAATTTCCATTATGTATTTCATTGTGATCTTCAAGTATAGCAACAAGAAGACATTAAAATTGTTATTCAGTAATGGAATGTAGCTCATTGGTAGAACATGTGTTTAGCATGTGCAAACTTTGGGTTGAATTAATAGCACCAAAATTAGATAATGTTTCAGCATTATTGAGACCATATTACTAATGTCAGCATATAAACCTACAAAAAAATCTTAACTCAACCTCTTAAATCTTTATAAGAAACAATTTCTTAAATTGAAGGGTCAGGCCCAAGTTTTAAAAATTTCCTCCTTTTTAAATATTAAAATCCATTTTAACTAATTCTTTTGTGTTTAGTTGACACATGAATACCTATAGTTATTTTAAAATATGTGCACAGTGTGTAAGAATCAGAGCAGGGAAATTGGAATACTCAGCACTTCAAACACAGATTGATTGTGCTGCAAATGAGGTCTAAGTTATTTTAGCTGGACAACAGGTTGTAGTTCTGTGTTGATACAGAAACACATTCATAATATCTACATTTTTATATTCATCAAGATTCAACATTTAGCCATAAGCAGATATCACTTTGAGTATTCCTTTGAAGACTCTTTATGAAGATATGTTGCTTGATACTTACTTCTTCTGCTTTCTCCTTTCCATATTGATCAAGTTGTTCTTTTAAAAGATTAGTTTCATTGATTAATTCCAAATATTTTTTTCCAGCATGAGATGATATCTGTCATTCTGAGCTTGAAGTTTTTTTTATAGCATCATAAAATTGGGTTTGGACACTAATAATTCCATCTATTTTATTTTCACCTTTGTTCTGATAGTCATGCAATTGGTCTTCATGCAATGTAGTTTCTCATTGTAGTTTAGATACCTTCTCTTTAGAAGCTTCCTGCTTTCTGAGGTGTCCATTCCTTTTTCTTTCTTCATTTTGATACCTGTGTTCCATCTCCTTCTGTTGGCACTGTCTTTGTTTTAGGTGTCTGTTTACTTGATCTGTAGCCAATGTCATTACTCTTGTCTGATGCAGCTCATTTTCTAGGTCACTTGTTTTTACTTCAGACTTTGGAACCTGTTGGGAAGGAATCTCACTACTACCATTTAGGTTAGATACATCAATATTCTTTTTTTTCCTGTGAACTAAAGTCTTTATCTCTGCCTCTCTGGAAAGCAAGTTCTAGATTTCTTTTTGGTGTTGGACTTTCACCTTGATGGGGTGGAGCAGGACCAGATCTGGCAGGATGAGATTTGACATCTGTTTCTGGTCATTCTGTGCTTTGTTTTTCACTCTCAGGTGTGAAATTTTGCAATGTACTCTCAACTTTCCAAATACCCAACTGTTCATTGTCCTGAAATATTTCCATAAGCGTTTCCTCATTCAATTTTTGTGTCCATGGAAGGCTGGTATTCTTTTCAGTATTCTCAAAGCACTTCTTTTCCTGGTTCTGATTTTACTGTGTCCATTCCCAGTCTCTTCATAGAGACCTCATCCTTCTTCTTGTGATATTTATGCAATAGCTTGTTCTCTGTCCCATCACTAGGAGAAACCTAAATAAAATCAAGGATACATTTAGCTAGCACTCAATAAAATTATGTTTCATAATTTTCACTGAAATTAAAGAAAAACCTGTATATTTATATGGTGAAAGGGTTTCAATAAATAGATACCCACAGAATAAAAATTAGATGTAAACTTCTGAGCTCATAAAAATATAAATTCCCAAGAGTTCAAAAGTTAATTCAAGAAAATGGATCTATGAGAGTAAAAGAAAATTGCAACTTAAAGAATGTAAGAACTGCCAGGTTCAGGGGCTCATGCTTGTAATACCAGTGTCTCAGGATACTGAGGCAGGAGGATCACAGGTTCAAAGCCAGTCTTCAGCAATTCAGTGAGACCCTGATTCATTCATAAATAAATAAATAAATGGCTGGGATGCATCTCAGTGGTTGAGCACCCTGGTTCAATTCTTGGTTATAAAAAAAGAAAAAAAAATAGATTGAAAAAATCTGCATTATACCAGAATGAAAGAATAGATTAAGTGATTAGTTAGTTTGCCAATGTAAAAAAAAAAAAAAACTTTGCAGAAGAGAAGCAACAGAGAAAACCCTACACATATAGTTATCTAATACTAGAGAAACACACTATAAAACATGCATTGGGGAAAGGATAGGTTCCTCAACCAATTGTGCTGGGAAAACTGGAAACCCATATGTCGTAGGAGAAATTTAACCCCTATTTCTCAAAAACAAAGTGGATCAAGGACCTAGACATTAGATAAAAACCCTAGACCTATTACAATAGTAGACAGGCCCAGTGCTCCATCTTGTCAGTGTAGAAACTGAATTCCTCAAAAAGACACTTAAAGCACAAGAAGTAAAATAAAGAATCAATAAATGGGGTGGTATCTTTACAGCAAAGGAAGCCATCAAGAATGTGAGTAGACAGCATGTAGAATGGGAGAAAATCTTTGTCACTGACATGTCAGATAGAACATTAATCTCCATAATATATAAACAACTCAAAAAATAACTCACAAGCAAAAAATAACCCAATCAATAAATGAACAAAAAACTGAGCAAGCACTTCAAAGAAAAATATGTACAAACAGTTAACAAGTATATGAAAAAAAATGTTCAACATCTTTAGCGATTAGAAAAATGAAAATTAAAACTACACTGAGATATAAAGAATGCAAGTAACAATAAATGTTGGTGAGAATGTGGGGAAAAGATTCACTCATATATTGCACCAAGTAATTTTTTCAGGAAAGCTGTATATAGATTTCTCACAAAACCTGGAATGCAATAGCTTGTTCTCTGTCCCATCACTAGGAGAAACCTAAATAAAATCAAGGATACATTTAGCTAGCACTCAATAAAATTATGTTTCATAATTTTCACTGAAATTAAAGAAAAACCTGTATATTTATATGGTGAAAGGGTTTCAATAAATAGATACCCACAGAATAAAAATTAGATGTAAACTTCTGAGCTCATAAAAATATAAATTTTTGACCATTTGACCCAGTTATTCTGCTCCTCAGTGTATACTCCAATGATACTATAGTGACACAGCCACATAAATATTTATAGCAAACAAACAAATGCTACTGAGTAGAAATCTCAGGATTTTCTGAGTAGAGCCTTACACATTTTGCCTTATTTGTCATTTGTATTTTGAAACACAGACCTTCTTTGGTGTTTATCCATTCATAGGATAGAAGTAACTGGCTTTGTGGATGAGCACTAGAAGCAGAGGCAAAAGACTTGGAGAAAAATCATGCAATTTGCCTATGTTTTTAGCCTTGTGCTCCTTTTTCAGTATTGTGATACATTGTTCATTGATATAGATCATGTGTTTAATGCTGTTCCTACATTTATAATTTATCAATAGATGCAATTCTCTTTCCCAGCTACAAAATGTTAGAAAAGAGAATATGCTAGGAATATTTTTAGGAAAAGACCATGGAGAACTTTTGTATGTCTCAGTAGATGTAGAGCTAAGGCTCTTACTATGGTCTGGTTGAATAGATGAGGTGTCAGATTGCAAACTTATTCTTCTTACAGTTAAGTGAGCACACTCACTCATTTAAAAACAGAAGAAAATAATTCAGGAAATATTTCCTTTCTGCACATGTCTATCTCTTTTTGTTTGCAAAGATGTGTTACTGAAATTTCATATTGTAAATTCTGGCATTATGGTCTCATGGAAATTGTCTGTAGGTTTCATTTGGTTCTGCTAAAATCTACAAATTTATTTCAGCAAGGTTTTGGCAGTATATCAGCAGGTGACAGAAGTCTAAAAGCTTAATTTAAGAGTGGGACCATCAAGATTAAAAAATAATTCCAAAAGGTAGATTTATTCTTTATGAGTAATTGTCTTACATTTCACTTGCACAAATGACAGATAAATTTGGGTGAGTGAAAACATTTCTTGGGGTGGGGATGTCGCTCAAGTGGTAGCGTGCTCGCCTGACATGTGTGTGGCCCGGGTTCAATCCTCAGCACCACATACAAACAAAGATGTTGTGTCCACCGAAAACTAAAAAATAAATATTAAAATTCTATCTATCTATCTTTAAAAAATATTTAAAAATTAAAAAAAAATTTCTTAAATGCAGACAGAAATGTAATTGGAAACACTTTTTAAAAAATGATTTAAATAGGTGAATAGATATTTAGTTTGTATTTTAAAATAAAACACCTAAATTTGTATTTATATCAGTGATTAAACTAAATTTCTTCATTCAAACAACAAATGCTGAACAACTACCAGATGCTAAGTTTTGCTGTAACTAGTTTTGTCATAAATATCATCATTTAATTTTAGAGTCAGATAACATTGTGTTTTTTTTTTTTTCTGGTTTGTCAGATCTTTTTTTAATTTTTTTATTGCCAAATAATGAACATTGTGTTTTAAATCAAAATAATAGTTCACACCCCACATACCCATGCTTTGGGAAACAGCAGACTGCATATAAATGGTGTTCCTATAAGTCTGTGTTTCCTGGCATTGTCGGAGATGTCTGAAGTGTGTGGAAGTACACACACATGATGACTGCATGTTGGTGAAGTTGCCAAACAGCACATTCCTCAGACCACTTTGCCATAATTAAGTGAAACATGGCCACATACAATAAGTTAAAGGGATTTTATAAATAATTCAAATGAAATACAGTAAAAATTTGAAACTTCACTGAACGTTCATTTACCTGATTAAAATGATTTCTTGCAGTCTCCAATTCTGTATCTATTGTACAAACAGAGATTCCAGCTTGCTTTCTCACTTGATCCTCTTTGTTAAATTCTGTTTCTTTTTCTTTTAATGGGTTCTTATTTTTTTATGTAACATATCATCATTTTTTTCTCTTCACCTCATCTTCTTTTAAGGTATATCTGAAGTTAATATGGATGCATTTTAATTGATTTTTGCCAAAAACCAAAAATGTCTTTTTATGTTCTGGCTCTTTGTATGATGATTTAGTATCTTAATAAAAATTCTATGTTCTCTGAAGCTTTTCTAGTTTAACATTTTAAATTTCTCCTTTAATCTTGTGTAAAACATACATAATTGAAAGTCAATAATAAAAGATTCTTTTGTTATTTGATAAGTTTCTGTTACTAGCAAATATTTTAGATACCACAGAAAAAGAATTTAGAAATGATTTGGTAATTTGACAAGTTTAAGCTATTTTTTTTTGCACAATCATAGGTCCTCCCCAGTTAAAAAGATAATTTCATGTAAAATAAGATTTAAAGACATTGTTTATATACAAACTTATGCATTCAGTAGTAACATCATTTATCTTCATAAAATATGTCAGGTATACCTATAATTGGCTTACAGTGTAACAGCATATTCAGTCATTCTTTTTTCAATATGTGTCTTTTGGGGCTGGGGCTGTAGCACAGTGGTAGAGTGTTTGCCTAGCATGGGTCAGGTGCTGAGTTCGATCCTTAGCACCACATATAAATAAAATAAAGATATAAAAAATATGTATCTTTTGTATCACTATAACCCCAAACTGGGATAAATAATCTAATACCAGTTATTATACTTATTATGTTTCTTTTATGGTAACACTCTCAACTTACCTTTTTGATCATTATGTATTTTACAAAAAACTCAAAATCCATTTTTGACCAAGATGGGACCTAATATTTAATCCAATAATGAATAGTAACGTTCTTCAACAGATGAATGGATAAAAAAAAATGTGTGTGCGCACACACAATGGAATATAAGACATAACAAAAATAAATTTATGTCAACATATAGTCTACTGTCATGTATACCTAAAAAACATAAAAGTATATGCCCTTTAAATATAGAAATATGAACAAATTTATGAATGAGAATGAATTTGAATAAAAAAAAATCTGTTTTCATTTCATTTTTTAATGAATGTTAACGTTAGAAGTGCAGCCGAGTGTCTAGCTCAGCACTAGCACATCACACTAGTAACACAAAACTCTGAGTTTGATCCCCTAAATCAGCCTAAAAACTATAAATGTATAATAACATGTTTCAGGGCAGTGAAAAATGCCTCACTGGTGGAATATAAAATTTCATGAGATAAATTTAAAAATCCTGTAATCTTTTTAAAGTTTCCCAACTTTAACCAAATAAATCTATATTGAAATTTTTTTCAAAAGTAAACAGAAATACAGAAAGTTTTTTTTTTTTTTTATTTTCTTCTCATCCCCAACTTTGGTACCAGGGATTGAACCCACAGAAGCTAAATCCCTTAGCTACATCCCAAGGTCTTTTTAATTTTTTTTTTTTTTTTTGAGATGGGGTCTCATTAATTTGCTTAGAACATTGCTGCTACGTTGATGAGGATTATTTTGAAATTTTGATCCTCCTATCTCTGTCTCCCAAGCTGCTGGAATTATAGGCACATGCCATGGTATCTAAGTAGGAAATTATTTTTTTTTTATAAATGATATTTCTTGAAATATTAATTGTAATAAAAAGTTAAAAATATAAACAAATAACAATCCCAAATTATGCTTCTTAAATAAATAGATTACTAGCAGATGGGGTTCCATAGAGCCATTAAAATTTTGATGGGGAAAAATATGAACTTATGAACTTAGTTTTTAGAAGTAATCACATTTAATAATATGCTATCATATTTGTAAGAATTTTATAATTTATTTATGTTTTCTCCTTTGCAAAGTGCTAACAGATGAGGCAGTAGTTAAAAAAAACTTTGTCCTTCTTATTTTACTGGATTAAAGGAAAAGATTCCACTCCTTCTTTCAATCTAGGATATAATACCTCAAATTGTGGAGTTGTTATTTCAATTCTATATTTTCTTGCTTAAACTCTGATACTCTCTTTTTTAGTTCATGAATCTCATTTTCCAGTTGTGCATTTTTTTAACATGTAGTGAAAACTGTGTGCAGTGAATTTTTTTGCTTTTTATTATTCTTTGAAGTGATAGAACTGCTTTCTGGGTTTTTGACAGGCTAACAGAATCTGTCAGAAAAAAGAAGATAGAAATAAAATATGTGACTAATTTAAATATATGAATGCTGTATATTTCACATGCATTATTTATACACTAAAGCAATGAGTGCATAAAACACGTGACACAATATGCTGAACTCTGAAGATATAGCAGATGAGATTAGACCCCTTTGTTCTTTAGCTTAAAGTCTAATGGAGAAGACAGACACAAAAAAAGATCATTATAATTTTAAACAGATGATATTAGAAAAGAGGTTTTTGATCTAATACCTAAATCTGATCTATAGAAAAGATTCCCTGGGGAAAATGAAAATACACTGAGAAATGAACAGAAAGCAGGTAGAATGTGAAGAACATTATTCTTTCCAACATAAGAATTCAAGTTTTCCAACTCCCCTGTGGTCTATACTTGTCTTGTACAGAAACTAAGAGGGACACTCCCACTATAACCTGCTGCTGGACTTTGGTCTTGAGAGAGACAACTCTTTATCTTTCTTGCTTTTTCTTTATTCCCTGTTTACTAGGTTCATTTCTCCCAGTATTAGAATATATCAGCACTCATGTTATAAATCAATATTCTATCCAAAGAACTGTGTAGAATATGTTGTTCTTACCATGGACATGTCCATCTTCTTTCTCTTTTGCTTTATGATGTTTCTCTCCAGATGAGTGAGAAACACATATCTGTGGATGATCCTCAGAAAATACCTGCAAAATAAAGGACCCCAATGAGCTGCATGAAGACTTCACTATCATTCTTTTAGACATCACCCAAATTTTGGTCTTGAAAGCAGCTAACTAACATGTAGATAACTACAGACTGAGCAGTCATACTTTCCATAGGGTGTCTTAGCATTGTGCTCTAGAAGAAGCTGAACACTTATCTTCCAATGGCTCCTGATTTGGTAAAAGCAGGGTGGATGTCATAGAAAAGGCATTCCTTGACAACATGCTAACAAAGGTGTATACACCCCAAAGGACGGGAGGAATGATATTCATTGTAACTCATCCAACTTTGCATTCACCATCAAATGTGAGAAGGCTTTCAAGTCTTATTTGAAAGAATTTTGAGGAGTATGTTTCATATTAAATAGGATTACACTTTTTAAACAATGAACTAACAAAGATTTGTTTGAAAATATGAGACTTAGATGTTCAGTTGGGGATTTGACACTGAGATATGGCCGCTGCCCAGGATACACCCCAAAGGGAAAGCTGTAAACCCAAGGACCTACATATGCCAGACAAATAAAATAAATCCAGATGTGTGCTAAATCTCACACCAGGAATGTTGGCAATGTGAGAAAAAAGATGAGACAGAATCTCTAAATTCCATCATTCCCCATTAATGCACACAAATACATTTCTTTAATATACTAAGACATTTTGATAAAATTATTCAACATATTGACTGAATTTTCTACAAGGATGAGAAACAAAATGAAAAGGTCACCGCAGGAAAAAAAAAATGTTTAATACATGTAAGAAGACAGAAATTGGTTCAACATACTTTATACACAACCAGAGATATAAAAAAAATGTGCTATATATGTGTAATAAGAATTATAATGCATTCTGCTGTCATTTATTTTTTTAAAAAAATCAATTAAAAAAGCAAAAAATAACAAATAAACATTAACCAGGATGTAGTGTTTATATATATATATATATTTCAACTTGTAGCAAGTAACTACTGATTTTCACTAGAATTTTGAGCCTTTGACAACATCACCCTTTCACATGAATGCAGTCAGTGACCATTACCATTCATAACCCAGGTGGTTATTCGTCAGTCTCAAATTTAGTATCAACTTTTTATTTTTCAAAATGTTTATGCAAGTGGAAGCACAAGCAACATTTAGAATTGTTTTGCCTCCATTACATAGTAAATTTAGCTGTAAGTTGACAAGACTACTAATGCTATTTTCAGATTCTAACCAGTTCAGAGTGGTTTTAGATGTAATTAGTAATATATAATGCCTGGATTCCAAAAGACTATTTAAAAGGTATTTTCATTTGGCCTCCTTTACTTTCCTCAAGAAAGAAAAACAAGAGGAAACAGGAAGAAGTGCTTTATATGTTGACATACCTGAGACTGGGTACATTGAGCATCATCAAAACTTTTGTGCTCTTCCTCTGAAGTCATGTCAAAATGGGTCTCTGCTGATAAATGAATACATTTAGTCACATTCCTTAGAACTGCATTAGAAAGAGTGAACATCAATCCAAATAGAAAAGGTAAATTGTAACACCAAAACAACTTAATATTCCCAAATATGATTTCCAATTAAGTTTAATATTTGGTGAATAATTACTGGTTTCAACTTTCCACAGTTTTTCTTTTTTTCTTTTTCTCTCTTTGCATATACACCTTGGGAGTGGACCCACAAACTTATGCATTCTTGTCAAATACTCTACTACTTAGTTCTATCCCATGGCCACATTAATTGGCAACTTGAGTCCTCTGAGTGGACAGAATATAGCCATCCTTCAAGGCTTGGACTTCCAAGTAGTTGTGAATAAAGATGTACTCATTTGCACCCAACAAACATTGAGTTCTCAGGGAGTATTTTATCTTGATCCAAATCCTCAACACACATCTTATAGAGACATGACAGGATACAAGGTTCAGTGCAAACCATATTGCCAAGATTTGTCTACTCAAGATCAATGAAATTTGCTCAGAAACAAGCTTGAAAATACACATGGAAAGAAGGGCTGATTCTGCGAAAATGTTAGTATAGAGTAAGCTGCATTCTAAGGTGCACTATTGCATGGAGACCAAAGAGTTGGTGAAGAGCTTCTCAGCAAAGTGAGTGAAATAGGGATTTTATTCAAATCCCTAAAATTTCTGAACACTGAAAAGGTCCAGAGATTCAGTAATCTCTGTACCATAAACAAAAAAAAGCCTACAACCTGCATGCAAATATCAGTGCAGATCTGCCTCAGACAAAGGAGGAGAGAGAAGAAGAAGTTGCATTCTAAGTTGTACCATGATGTGCCTGCTAAGGAGAAACCTGATATCAAAAATATTGCTTAAACTGATCTGACCAAAAGGTGCACTATGCACTGGTGCTTAAAAAGCATGCTCTTCTCTCAATGGGTGATGGGAGTGCTGAAGCCATAGCCATCCTCGGAAAGAGTGCAACAGTGGTTTCTTTGATTCAGTTCCTCTAAACAACACACACACACACACACACACACACACACATGAGGATCCTGGAAGTGCCTATCAAGGGACCTAGGCTGTGCCTGATGGAAGGTAGACAAAACTGGTGCAGGCTAGACTATACCCGTGTGACTCCAGTGAGAAGGGCAAAGGGGAACCTATGTGTCTGGAAGCTAATGTGACCAGCTGAAGTGTCAGAGAAAATGACCTAAGGCAGAGAAAATGTGCCCTCAGGGATGGTGTTTTTTCTGCCTACTCACCTCTCAAAAAGACAGGTGAGAGGTGAGTAGCCAGAGAGCAGGAGATGGTGAGAGCATGAAATGCTGTAGGCCCACACAGAGAAAAGTATGAAATAGGTCAGGATTTGTCTCAGAATAAAGGGATAGGTGAGGCCTAAAGCCAGAGGACAGTTGAGGCAGAGGAAAGGTATAAAGATACAGAATGAGGCTTGGCTCATGTCAGGAAATATTTCTAAGAAATTTCAGAAGGTTGACCTTTCACATTCCGAAGAGATGTTTATGGTGACATTTGCATGGTAGCTAGTTCACTCCAAAGGCTGGAAATAGGAAGAATGTAATAGTATGATATGTAGGGGAAACAATTCAGAATTGAGAGGATATTCCCAGAAACACAGAGGAGAGATCATTTTCTGTGAATACTGATGACATTGTGAGGAAAATCCTCCCACCTCTTTGGGAAAACCACCTTACATGTGACAACACTGGTAGCATTTCAAGTGTTTTAACATTGTGTTTCCTGGAGTGTTGTAATGTAAAACTTACCCAATTTGACTGTCTTTTCTTTCACCTTGCCTAATCCTTTCCATGGAAGGGCCTCTTTTATTGTGATGGGATCGGTGTGCTTAGAAAGAAGATAGTACATAAAGAGTGTATTTTTCATTGACTACAAAGTTAATAATTTAGAATAAATATAGAAATTTAAGTACCTTTCTGAAATCAGATGAATCCCTAGAGGCTGAAAAACAAAAGGGGTATATAATCAAGCAAAGTTGAAGAGGACAAAACAACTCATACATTACAGATGCCTCCACATACATCTGAGGTCCATGGTTCAGCTGTGCTAAAAAATATGCTATCTCCTGGGTTTCTGTGCTGGATGGTTTGGCTGACAACAATCATGTGACTAAAATCTGCCAAAGGAATTTTGTGAATAGGTTTTGTGAAACATGGTGTTCATTTCACAAACCTGAGATTATTTGTCCAATGACCATAAATAAAACAGACAAGGAAACATATACCAATGCAAAGATACAGATTGACGGAGAATCCAAAAATCCTCTAGTGAAGAAGCAAAGAAGGTCCCTAAGAGATTCAATGGCAAAGGTGAAGTCAAAACAAAAACAAGCCATAGAACCTATCTTACTGAAATACTATTGAAAAGATTCAATATTTATAATTTTAAGTATGTATATATTTACTGTATTTGTCCTTTCATTTTTGTTTAGTAAGGCCTAAGCTGTGTTCAGATCCCAGGGAAATGTTAGGTTCATTTCTCAACAAAGATATCTGAAGGAGTCAGTTGAAATACATATTTTGACACTGAAAGCTATGACACTATTGTTTGTTTCTTATATTCAGGTGGGATGCTGGTTCCTCTTGTGCATCCTCTATTCCTGTATTCTCTGGTTTAAAGATTAGATTTTCATGATCCCCTTGTGTGAGAACAGGTAGTTTCCACTGTGGTGAGCCGCTTCTGCCGTTTCTGCAGACTATGGTCGCCATTACAAGATGGCGCTGGCTCCGCTGTGGTCTGTGACAAACAACTCCTTATTTGGGAGAGTTGGCGCGTGGTTTTTCACCACCCTATGAGAAAGCTCCATGTGGCAGCTTCGCATTGGGGCTTGAGATGCTTTATTAAGGCTGGGAGAGGCATCCAGGGGAGAAGAAGAAATATCAAAGGCCTGAATAAACTGCTGAAAGAAGATTCCTGAGTTGCGTCTTCCTTGCGGGCAAGGGGTCGCGACATTCCACATCTAAGAAATAAGGTTTGATTGGTTTAAACTTTTGAGACATAAAAATTTAAATGGAAAGTTGAAATGGAAGAGCACAGCTTTATCTGATAACAATAGTATATTATTACACACACAAACACACGAATATATGACAAAGATTTTGGGTATTCAAAAAGTAAACTGTATAAAGAGTTCTGTTTACAAATGAGTTTGGTTTGGTGTGACTTGCCAGTGTTTTAAGTGTATTCATAAAAGGCCAGGCCTATCAAAAAATTATAATTAGCTTTCGAAGGATGAGGATGTAGCTCAGTAATGAAGTGAATTTCTAGAATGCCCATGATCAAAATTTTATTTCCAGGCAAATAGGAAAGAAATACAGAAAGTAATTATGTAAGGAAAAAAGACAGGGAGGGAGGGAAGGGAGTTAGAAAGGAAAGAGGGAAGGAAGTAAGGAAGGAAGGAAGGAAGGGAGGGAGGGAGGGAGGGAGGAAGGAAGGAAAGGAGGGAGGGAGGAAAGAAGAGAAAGAGCAGAGGCGTCATTAAAAGCCACGAATGATTCTGAAATGTAATTTTGCTCCTCAGAATGACTCAATTTAAACCACAGCAAGCAGTATGTCTGATAGGTATGGAGAAAAGTTGGTCATGGCTGGAATCTTTCCCCAACTTACAAGCCCCTCATGATTCAAATGATGGACAAGTTACAATCTCTCACATATTGTGAAAGATAGATATACTGATAGCCCCTGAATTGCATGCTCTCAGTTTCCCCATCATTCCCTCCAAGATTACCCAGCTAACTTATTTTGTTTCTTCCACATTTTTCCTTCCCAGAAACTTTTCAAAAGCAACATCTTGATCTCTGGTCTTGATTCTTTATATTTTCCATTTTGTCTATGAATTATCCCCACTCTTTCTTTTTCTTTTCTTTTCTTTTTTTTTAGTTATAGATGGACACAATGTCTTCATTTTATTTATTTATTTATTTATTTATTTATTTATTTATTTATTTATATGTGTTGCTGAGGATAGAACCCGCGCATGCAAGGCAAGCACTCTACCACTGAGCTACAACCCCAGTCCACCACTCTTTCTTAATTCCCAATTTAAGGATTAGACCTAAGAAATATAAATTCTATACTTTGAGGTCTTATCACTTGCCAAGAGACAAGAAAAGAATAAAAACTAGATGTATGCAATAACTTCATTACATTTGATGTCCCAGTGGCTCTGCATTTAGTTTTGCTAAAAGGAAATCCTTTCCTGACCTCTTTACATGGTGGCGGACACATAGTGATCATTGGAATCACCTTACATGGAAGAAAACATAGATGTGCAAGCCAGGTAAGTCAGAGTATGCATTTTGAATAGGGATCTCCACAGATGATCTATTAAAGTCTGAGAGTCTGGGTCTGCACCCCAATTGGAGTAGGGGCAGAGCAGAGCTGCCACCCGCCCCTGGAACAGCCCCAGCAGCCCACCGGTGTGATAGTCACGTCACCCCAATTGGAGTAGGGGCAGAGCAGAGCCGCCTCCCACGCCTGGAATAAGCCCAGCGACCCGCCGGCGTGGTAGTCACGTCACCCCAATTGGAGTAGGGGCAGAGCAGAGTTGCCACCCGTGCCCAAAACAGGCCCAGTGACCCGCCGGTGTGGTAATCATGCCACCCCAATTGGAGTAAGGGCAGAGCAGAGCCGCCGCCCGTGCCTGCAAGGTAGGCAGACCTGCGACCGACCGGCAAAACAGGCCCAGCGGCCCGTCAGCGTGGTAGACAGATCACCCCAATTGGAGGAGGAGCACAGCAGCCGCCCGACCCTGCAAGGGAGACTTTTCAAATATACAAGAGCAATATAAATATATAAGGGGAAAATTTCAAAAACACAACAGTTTCACCAAGCAGAAAGAAATGCGAGCAGTATGAAAAGACAAGGAAAGAAAGGACCACAAGCAATTTAGGTCAACTCAACTTTAGAAGAGGTAATAGCTGCAGCAGATGGAATGTCAGATAAAGAATTCAGG